ACAGATTCCCACCCAAAAAAACATCCTTATGGAGTCGCCCATCTTTCTCCTCACAGAGTGACCCAAAATCTCACATTTTTACCCCAAAATCTCACAGATTTCCACCCAAAAAACATCCTCATGCAGTCTTCTATCTTTCTCCTCACAGAGTGACCCAAAATCTCACATTTTTACCCCAAAATCTCACAGATTTCCACCCAAAAAACATCCTCATGGAGTCCTCCATCTTTTTCCCCAAGGAATGACCCAAAATCTCACATTTTTACCCCAAAATTCCCCTCCCGAATCCCTTAAAAAAAGTCAATTGTAGGCATTTTCGGGGGTGCTTCAAAAAATGTTCGTTTCCACTCCAAATCGCCCCCCAAAAATGAAGGTTTTAAGGCTATTTTTGTTCATCAACAAACCTTCAGCTTCAAAATTTGGCACAGATTGGTGAAATCGTGGTTTTTGTCCCCAAAATTTGGTTGTTTCGCCCCAAAATTGCAGAGTTTGGTCGATTTTTGGGTTAAAAAAACACGTTTTTTTTGGGGGGGGGGGGTCTTAAATCTCGTTTTTGGGGCCGGAAAATGAATTTTTGGGGTGGGTCGGAACGGATTTTCTGGGGTAGCAAAAATAATTTTTTGGGTTTTTTTGGTCGTTTTTTGGGGTTAGAATGGAGAATTTTGGGTCAAAAAAGGGATTTTTTGGCTTTTTTTGAACGCGAGTGTAAAAACGTGTATTTTTGCGGCACATTTTGGGGCCAAAAGTTAAAATCTGGAGGGATTTCGGAAGAAACTGAGGACGAATGTGGAAATGTTGTGATTTTGCGGGATTTAAAACGTAAAATTTTGGGGAAAAAACCCCAATTTTAGGCACCGCAGCCGTCCCGCTGTGTCACGTGACGCTCCGCGCGCCTTCCTATTGGCCCGAGCCCTGCGCGGGAAAATCGCTGCCTTTCCGCCATTTTGAAAGCGGAAGCGACTCCCTCCGCCGCGCTTCCGGTTTCCGGCGTGGAGCGGAAGGGGCGGGATCAGAGCGGCGATGGCGGCGGCGGTGGAGGAGGAGGAGAGCGCTGAAGCGGCGGCGGACGGGGAAGCGGACGGGGCGGCACTCAGGGAGATGGAGGTGAGCGGGGCCGAGGGGGCGGGGCCTCACGGGGAGGGGGCGGGGCCTGTGGGAAAGGGGGCGAGGCTTCGGTTTGCGGCCTGTGAGGGGCGAGGAGGCGTGGTTTAGGAAAGGGGGCGTGGTTTACACCAGAAAGGGGCGTGGCTATGCGGTGGTGGGCGTGGCTTAGTGAATGGGAAGGCATACGCGGGGGCGTGGCTTGCGTGGGAAAGTGGGCGTGGCTTGTGGGAAAGGGGGCGGGGCTTCGGGGTGGGGGTGAATGGGGTCAATGGGGGGTGGGGGAGGCAGTG